ACGCTTGCCTCAGCGGATCACACAGGCTGTCCTGAAGGGGGCCCAGGACCAGCCACCTTTAGTTCCGATGTACACGGGGCTGTCACCATCAGAGCTGACTCAACACAACTAATAGCAGCGGCTCACGGACACAGGCCGGCACACGTGCTTCATGTGCAACCGAGACTCTACGCGAACTTTAGCGAACCTTCAACGACCTTGAATCACACACACCCAGCAAACCACTCCTTTTCAGCTCTGATCGTGTCGAGGAGGGACACTCAGCCAAGTTCTAGCACAATGGTAACAGGGAGCCCTGGCTGCTCTTCCGTTTTAACAGAAGCAGGCCTTGGGCTCAGACACTCGGGCGAGGCAGTCACTAACCTCTGGTTGGTTCTCCTTCTTTGTCTTTTGTGATTAGTTTCTTTCACTCTGTGGAGAATGGAGCAAATTTTCCATTGCCAGTGAGTGTACAAAACTGTGTGGCTTGATTTCTGCTAAATGTACAAGTGTTCCCTGCTGTCTAAATAGGGTTGGTGTCTGAGTTTCAAAGAACAAGGGTTTGGGGCACACGAGCAGTTCATTTGAAAATTTCATCTAAACCTCTTTGATCCTGATTCCAGAAAGAAAGGATTCAGATACCAAGGGATAGCAGCATTTACGTAAACCAAGTGAGTCTCTTCAAGGATGGACTTTATAAGGAGCTCTGGTGGCGCAGTGCCTAAGGCATTTACTTGGCTAACCAGAAGGTAGGCAGTTCAAACCCACCAGCCACTGCACAGAAGGAAGATGGGCAATCTATTTCTGTAAAGACTTACCACCTTGAAAACCCAAAGGGGGTTGCTGTAAGTTGGAATCAACGCGATGGCAGTGAGTTTGTCTGCAAATTATAGCAGAGGTGGTACATGGATTTGTGCAGTGTAGTAAATTACTCAGTATGGCTTTTCTACCCATAAGTCATTGTAAACTCAGTGGCGGAATGAGCAACTGAGGAGCTCCTGATTGTAAATGTTATCCACCTGGGTTATTTCTGTTGGGCGTGGCACAACGCAATGTTATGGGAGGCTCTCTCTCAGGTGCTTAGAATTCTGTTGTCATGATTGGTTGGTTTGGCCACTCTGCCGGGCTCAAAAGGAGACCTCCGAGAGGCAGAACTCTGACTGCTAGTTGAGGAAGATGTCCTGCCGAAAGAGACACGCGCTGCTGGGAAAGAGACGCAAGACACATGCGTTGCTGAGTAAGACACCGAGGGACACACACTGCTGGGGGAGAGACTGTGAGAGACTTGGCTGAGAGACAGTGGGCTGGGAGAGAGACTGAGCGTTCTTCCTGAACTTGAATTGTAGCCTGGTGCTTCCCTAATAAACCCCATAATCTGTGAGTTCTGTGTGGCCACTGCAGCGAATTATCGAACCCAGGAGAGAGGTGGTGGGTGCTCTGGGAGGAACAGTTGGAGAAAGGGCTGGAGGGAGGCAGCATGTCTGGCCTGGCAGGAATAGGCGTTGGGCTACTGATGGTGATTCTGCCTTCCTCTTGTGGGGTTAGAGGAGGTCAGAACATGTGGCCTCCTTGCCGTTTTTGCAATTTGGTACGTAGATTTGGCAAAAGTGGTGAAGACAATAAAAAAATGACCCGATGACACACACACGTTATCAGTTGTCATTAAGTCAATTCTGATGCCTGGTGTCCTCTGTGTGTGCAGGGTACACCTGCTCCATGGGGTTTTGCAGGCTGTGACTCTTCAGGAGCATGTCACCTGATCCATCTTCAAGGAGCCTGTAGGTGCATTTGAACCACCAACCTTTTGGCTCACAGTCACTTAACTTTCTGTGCCACTGAGGGATGTCTGGTACAGACACACACAGGATAAAACAGACACATACATCCCAGTTGCTCACAGCGGAAAAACTACAATGGAAGGCCCATCCTCTGGGCTGTGTGTGCACAGGGAGACAGCTCAGGGGGCAGGAGGGCATGGAGGGATGGACACAGGGAAGAGGTGACTATGGGGAGGAAGTGGGAGGGGCCTGTTGCATTGTGGGAAATTGCAGTCAATGCCGTGAGACAAAGTGTATGTGAACTGCTGTATGGAAAGTGAATTTGCTTGGTAAATTTTCACCCAAATCACAATAATAATAAAAAAAGAGACCCATCCTTCATCCTTTCTGATGCCAGAGCCTGGCATGACGCAGTTTACCCAGTTTATCCTTTCTTTCAATTTCATCTCTGGACCCTCCTACCGGCTACTTCCTGCCAACCCTTCCCCACAAACCATCTACAAGGAACAGTGGGATGGTCTAAGCCTGAACTACCCAATATGAGGGACTCCTTAGTGGCACAAACCATTAAGCACTTGACCACTAGCCAAAAGGTGAGTGATTCAAACTCACCAGCTGCTCCAAGGGAGAAAAGGCCCAGCAATCTGCTTCTATGAAGACCGCAGCCCAGGAAACCTTGGGAGGTGGGACTAGTCTGTCATATCGGGTCTCCATGAGTCAGAATCAATGTGACAGCACAGAACAACAAGTCAAAAGGTTGGGGGTCCAAACCCACTCAGAGGTGCCTCAGAAGACAGGAAATCTACCTTTTTTTTTAAATTGTGATTTGGGTGAAAGTTTACAGAGCAAATTCACTTTCCATACAGCAGTTCACACACCCGTTGTCTCATGACATTGACTGCAATTCACCCCAATGCAACAGCACCCCTCTCTCTTCCTCCCCATAGTTGCCTCTTCCCTGTGTCCATTCCTCCATGCATGTAATCTGCTTTTGAAAGGTCACCTTGGAAACTCTCTAGAGAAGTTCTCTGCACACGAGGTCACCGTAAGTCATAACCAACTCGACAGTAGATAATAACAGCCTCATAATAACAGCCTCACAGGGCTAGGTATGTTCAAATTCATTTAAAGAAAATATAAAATTCAATTTCTAAAAAAAAAAAATTCTGGTCCTCAGTTGCACCAGCCATATTTCAAGCACTAAGTAGCCCCATGTGGCCAGTGGCGGCCATACTGGATAGCAGGATGGAGAACAATGCCACCATCACGGAAAGTCCTGTTGGCCAGTGCCGGAAGATGTTGCTGTGTCAGCTCCAAGCCTCCTCGGGGTGGCTTCCCCAAGTGCAGTTAACTAACCGTTCAAGATAAAAATAACCAAACTCACTGCTCACTGCCTCGAGTCCGTCCGGACTCATAGCAACCCCTGCTTGGGTTTCCAACGTGGTATCTCTATGGAAGTAGATTGCCCAACCTTCCTTCCGAGGAGTGGCTGGTGGGTTTGAACC